GCTTTGCGAGCAAAGAGGACGGGTGCACCCCACGGGGAGTTGCTAGGTTTAATGAAACCCAGTCTCAGGAGCTCCTCAAGCTGACGCTTGAGTTCGATGGCCTCAGGGATCGAGAATCTGTAGGGTGCTTGGTGGTGAACACGATAGTCAGGCACAAGCTGAATGGAGTGCTCGACGTCACGCATCTGTGGGATGCCGACGTACGAGAACGACGATGGGAAAACGTCGTGGTACTCTCGGATGAGGTCACGAACTGCGGGCTCGTCAGTGTCAGCGTCAGCGAGTGGACTCAACGGACGGCGGAGGGACGGAAGTAGAGATGGGAGCCATGGCAATAGGAGGATCTGGCTCCAGAGGGATGAACTCGGCGTCGGGACAGGGTGGATCATAGTGTAAGAGATCCGTCACGTCCACCATAAAGAAGGTGACGTCGTCCTGTCGGATGAAGTGGGCGAACTGCCGAGGCGAGGTGACAGTGATGGAAGGAGATGGTGTGGGCACGGAAGGCTCCTCGGGAGGAGGATCGGGGCGTGGTGTCGCAGTGGTACCTATGAAAGGTACGCGATACATCTGTCCACACTTCGTTTTGAGAACGAGAGTGTTGGTCCCCCAATCGGCCTCGGTGCTGTGGAACCGACGAGACCACGGAGTGCTGAGAATGAAGTCGTACCCCGTCTCCATCACATCCAAATGTGCAGAGGAGCGGTGGCCACGAGACGCCGTGGAACGATCAGTCGGCTCGAGAGTGAGGAAGAAAGGGAGGTCGGTGACCGTCTGATCGAAGAAGCGCTGAGGCTTGTCATCCCCTAGGGTAACGGAAATGGGAGTTGGAGACCCTGTCGTGGGTAAGCGAGCTTCTTTCACCACGCGTGGGTGAATGAAGTCGCCCTGAGAACCGGAATCCCACAGCGCGGAGTACACCCTCGTGGAGGTCCCGAGTCGTACTGGGATGATCGGGAGGGTGCGATCAGGGTCAGAGAGGATGGCGAGAAGGCGCCGCAGTGCAACGACATGGAGGGTGAGTCGCTCCTGACGAGCCTGAAGCATGCTTAAATCCAGAAGAGAGGACACAACGTCGGTAGTCGCGGGCTGAGCGAATGGCTCGACGCGTCGGTAGTCGCGGCGGGGAAGGAGGGGAGACGGTGGTCTGCGGAGGCGCAGACCGTATTGTGACAGAGGGCTGAGTACAGTCTGTCGAGTCCCGCGATACCTCAACCCCAGTAGCGAGAGGGGCAAACCACGACGGAGGTGTACACTGCACCGTGGCTAGGAGGCGTCGCGGGGACGTGAGGCGCCGGGGGGGGACTGAGCACTATGCTGACGAGAAAGATCAGCGTAGTGGCGGTCGAGGGCGGTAGTGTAAGGGCACCGCGAGGAGGTATGACCGTCCAAGCGGCAGCGCAAACACCCACGCCGGCCCAGAATGGCCGCGCGCTCCTCAGGGGAAAGGACACCACGAGGAGGGGCGAATCCCTGAGTGAGGTCCTCCTGAGGGACCTCGGGGGGCGACGTGCCAATGTGACCGGGGCGGCTGCGTGCCCGAGAGAGGGCGGAGAGCATGAGCTAAAGGCGCTCAGCTGCAGGGAGGGTAGAGTCCTCCAAGTGATAGTGGACGGCCTTGCAGAGATCGAGGTCGTCGCTGTGGTCGCCCTCAGGTGACACTGGGGCAACATCGTCCAGCTCACCATACTCCAGCGCGCTGAAGCGGCACGAAAAGTGGCGGCCCTGCTGCGTGGAACGGCGGGGGCGACCGCGAAAAGGGGAACGGCGCTGGGAAATGTCGTGAGAGGACGAGGAGGCGTAACCCGTGCGTTGGGGATAGGAGGAGGAGGCGGGGTAAAGACGGGCTCGCATCCGCTGATGGTCACTGGCGGCCTCGTAAGCCTGTGGGGCCGATGTGAACTCGTACCGCCATAGCTCGGAGCGGAACTCGAGCGAGAGGCTGGCCAAGAAACGATCGATAAGGGCAGCCTCGGGAAGGAACGCCACGTCACAAACGAGGCGGGCGTCCTGAAAGACCTGGATGTGGCGATCCAGGCCGGCAGCGCCACCAGAGCCGAACCRGCGTGTAGTGACGACACGCTCGAAGGCGTCAGTCACGTCATATCCGGTTCCGAAGCGATCCTCGAGGAACGCCTGGAAATCCATGAAGGTCGGAGTCCGACCCTCACGCAGGGAGTAAGCATAGAAATCCTCCCAGGCGTCGAAAGGAGCACCACGCAGGCGCGTGGAGAGGTGACCCACCCATGTGTCGGGTGTGGCGCCTATGAGCTGGAGCGTGCGGGTGGCAGCCTGCAGCCACCTAGACACGCGTATGCCTGTACCGTCATACAAGGGAATATCCGACAAGCGGATGAGTGGTGTGCCACCGTTTTGGCGGCGAGGGGAACGGGAAGCAGGGGATTGCGCTACAGCCGAATAAGTCGGCGCAGGTCCTGGAGGAGGAGGAGGCGCAGCTGACTGTACGCCCGGGCCGCATGGTGGAGCGGCGGGGGAAGCAGCGGCAGGCTGCACGGCAGCTGCGGTAGAAGAGGTCGCGGCGACCGAGGGAATGGGGAGGAGGTAGGATGGAGATTGGTAGGGTGCAGGGCGAGGGAAGCGAGCCTGCAGGGAAGGAAGAATAGAGGAAGATGGGGGTGCGCCGGAAGGCGCGGCCAVCTGTGAGGGTGGGGGTGGCTGAAGACGTGAGAGGGCGAGGTCCGTCCGGAGCCGAGCGATCTCGTCCTCGAGACTTCGAACGTAGGTCGAGCGAGGTGTGGCAGGGGGAGACGTACGAGCGGCGCAAGGCATCCCACNCGTCCGGAGCCGAGCGATCTCGTCCTCGAGACTTCGAACGTAGGTCGAGCGAGGTGTGGCAGGGGGAGACGTACGAGCGGCGCAAGGCATCCCACAAGGGGGAGAGCCAGATGGCACTGCGGTCGTGCGAAGAGGGGGGAGAAGTGGGGCACCCGGAAAAGCTGAGACCGCGGTAGCGATTTGTGGTCCCGTGGCCGTCGTGACCGGAATCTGGGCGAGTGCGCCCGTGGACAGAGGGAGGGCCTGACTCGTGGCGGTCGTCGTGCTAGGTGCGTGGACGGTCACCAAGATGGTCGGGTCGGGGGCAGCGGAGGAGGAAGCTTCACCGTGGCCACCCTGTCGGAAGGCGGGGGACCCGGACTGGGAGCCAGGAGAAGAGATAGGATCAGGAGAGGAAGGACGACAAGCGTCATGGAGTTGCCGCACGCCGGCGGCAAGGGTCGCCACCTGCGCCTGTAAGGGCGCGAGGGTCGCGAGTTGCGTCTGGATGGGCGCCAGAAAGGAGGTGAGGAGGGTGTGCAGATCCCCCTCGGGGTGATGGCCCTGGTCCGTCGGCACGGGTGTGGAGCCCGATGCCGTGGTCATCGCCGTGTCGGCGGCATGTGACACACCGTCAGCCATGGGGAGATGACGGACCAGACTGGAGGGGGCCAGAAGAGGTTCGCGTGAGCGAAGGGCGTAGGGGGAAGTCCGCGGTAGAAAGCGGCGAACGGCACTAGCAAGGCTAGCGCGGGCGCCGTCAAAGGGGGAGGGGTGGTTCGGGTCCAGGGTGCCTGAAGAGGACGGGGAAGTGGGGGGGTTTTGAGGAACCCTAAACCCTACAAAAACCCTAGGGAAAACCCTAACCGAGGTTTAAGTGGTTAGGGCAGGGTACCGGTGACCTAATCAAGAAGGTAAAAGAGCAAGCATAGGGGGCGGGAAGGCGAGAGAAAAATAAATAAACAGCGAGATTTCGAGAGAAAATAAAAATAAATAAAAAAATAAATAAATAATAAAAATAAGTAAAGAAATAAGTAAAAGGATGGAAAGGGAAAACAATATTTATTTTTTTGAAATTTTCGGCACCATTTCCCTTCCCCCCACGGGGTCAAGAATGTGCCAAGGGAAAAGGAGAGACCAAGGTGAGCACACTAGAAATGACGCAAATAATAAAAAAAAAATTCTGGAAATAAATAAATAATAAATAAATAAATAAATAAATATATGAGGAGGTGGGGAAAAATGGGTTATCTGATTCTTCAAAAATTTTGGCAGCATTTCGTTACCCCCATGGGGTCAAAGTGTGCCGAAAACACTAAGAGAAAATCAGAAAATTTCGGCAGCACTTCGTTACCACCGCGGGGTCAAAACGTGTGCCGAAAGCAAGAAAGGCTAACACCTAATCAGATTTAGGGTTGCCGCCAAGAAATTCGAATTTTCAGAATAAATGAAAATAAATAAAATAAATCAGAAAATAAGAAAAGAGAGTGGGGAAGAAGATGAGAAAACTAACAACTAATCAGATTTAGGGTTGCCGTAGAGGAAATCGAATTTCCAAAATAAATAGAAAAATAAATGAAATGAATCAGAAAAACAGAAAAGAGGGTGGGAAAGAAGAGATTTCGAATTATTGGAAAAGAGAAAAGATAAATCAAAAGAGAGGTGAAAAGAAGAAAAACAGAAAAAAAATCGAATTAGGGGGGAAGGGGAATGAAAAAGTGAAGGAGAAAAGAAAGAAATAGGTGGGGGGAGAGAAAAAGATAAAGTGGGAGGTAGGGGGGATGGTGTGGTGGTAGTTGAGGGAGAGGAGGGATGGGGAAAGGTGGACAGGGATCAAGAAAGAAGGAGAAAGAAGGAAAGAAAAGAAGAGATGAGGAAAATATAGTAAAAGAATGGGTGGTGGGAGAAAGGTGGGGTGGAGAAGATAAAAGGAGGAGAGAAAAGATGCAGCAGAAGGTGGGAGAAAGAGAAGGGGTGAATAAGAAGAGAGAGGAGAGGTAGGGAGAGTGGGTTAGTAGAGGGAAAGGGGAGAAGTGAGTGATACCTGGCCCTTGGTGTCTCCAAGGGCACAAGGTACACCAAGACCAGGAGGGTCTTGGTCTTCGCTGCAACAGCCAGTTGGAGGAGAGAGGGGGGCTGAGATCAGCCCCCAGCAGCACTTCTGCAGATGTGCAGATGTAGAGCCCGCTGTGTGAGCAGGCCCTCACCACTGTAGAGCAGCCCCCTTGAGCAGGGGGATCTTCAGTTCACAGTAGCTGCCACGTGGCGCAGCAGCAGCATCCACGGCGGGGGGGGGGGG